GGGACGGGGTCTTCCATGCCCTCGGCCTGGAAGGGGTCGGTGGGGAGGGAGTATTGGTGGAGTGGGTGTCTCCCAGAGCTTAGTAACTGCTGCAGAAGTCGAGCTTCTGGGTTAATTTGTTAAACTGGGGCATTCGGGAGGTGCTGGGGAGATGCGAATGCTTTGTGTTGCTACTTAATCTCTGGAGCTCACTCTGCTTCCCTCTGAGTTGACGCTTTGGTTTCAGGGGATGAGCAAGTCTTCCCTAAACTCAGGCCTGAAAAGACACCGTAGAGAGATCACCAGAATTAAAAAGAATAGATCATCTGGTAAATACCCCCAATAAATCTCAAGTACAGTTGCTGTGTAACTCGTTAGCATTGATACTGCTCACCCGTGTCCCATAAGACTGCCCTTCATGCAGGAAGACCTCTTTGCAGGAAAGGCTGATTATTTAAAAATGCCTTAAGTGGTGTTTTTTTTTCCCTCTGGATGCTAAATACAAAACTCCTCAGTATCTAGAAAAGCTTGTGGGAAAAACTGGTGTACTGCACTGACTGGTGCGTACTAAACAATCATGTGTTTATTTGTAAGCACTGTAAGTATCTCCTAAACTACAAGAGAAAGAAATTGGCATTAAGTTGTTTTATGTTTTGTTGTTGTCCTTAGAAGGAGCTTTTCAGTTGTACTTTCTTACAGAAAAGTATGTGCCCAAGTGGACCAAAGCTGCAACCTATGGCAAGACTTCCTACATACTGTACTTGTTCATAGCAGTGAGTTACAAAGAACTTCCCACTGAGAAGTGTTTGCTTTTGTTATACAGCACTGAAGAAGTCAATATATATACACTGCATTTATGCTAGTAGTAGTAGTCAGTATATATATACTACATTTATACTAGTAGTGCAGTGCTTCATAGAAAAATACAGTTTTGGTGCCAGAAACTATCATTATCTTATAAGGCTGGTCTTCATACCCTTCAACTCTTGCTCCAAGCAAGAGTTATGGGACAGGTTCCTCCACTTCCAAGGAAGATGTTATCCCCCTGCCTGTAGAGTTTGGAAATAAAAGTAATTCCAGAGATGCTCTGGTATTGAACAGCACAGTTCATGTCAGATGTAATTTACAGGGCCTAGGAACAAGAGGGCTCAGGAACAGCAGTCCTTGGAGATACGGAGAACAGGTATGAGAAGGATAATCATTGCAGTAACTCTCGGGGTGTCTCTGGGTATGTATATGTGGGAGATATGGCTTCTTGTAGCTTGTATGGTGTGGCAGCAAGTTGATGAGCAGAGCAATCTCCCTTTTCAGGTGGCAGTCTCATGCTTTTCCATGTTCTCCTTTCATAGGGATAGTTTTCCCAAAGTTCTGCTGTCCACCAGTAACTCCTCCAGCAGGGACAAGTCCCTGCTTGTACAAATCAAACAAGCCTCCGTGACATAGTGTTTCTCCTGCTCTGCCCCAGGATTGCTAACTAGGAGGATATTTTCCTGACTTGCTGCTTTAACTTCAAACTCAGTGCAGCAGTTTCCTCCAGATCAAATTCTGGGCAGTTGATTCTTTTCCAGCTTGCCCCATTTGCCCTTTATCACTTGCCTGACAAGTATTAGATTTAGAATTGTTCTGTACTTGTGAAAGTTCGCAAAACAAAGTGTTAAACAAAGTTCTGTGTGTAAATACAATTTACAGAGAAAAAACAAGTCCTGTCATTTGTGAAGCAGAGAATATGCACTGTTTGAGATAGCTGATGGATAGGAGCATGTTGATAGTGACTGGTGTGCTGTGTGTTGTCCATACCGCATGCTTCTGCAAGACTGCCAAAGATCACTAGATCTGGGTGAGCAAGCAGCATGCCAAATGTTTTCGCAGGGAACAGGGCACATACCTGTTTCATCTTCAAATGCCTCAAGAAATATGGAAACAATTGTTTCATTTGCAAGTGCTTCAGAGTCCTTTGCAGCCAAGGGAGCAAGACTGCTTTTTTTATCTCCCCTCATTTAAGTGGAATTGGAGGGTTCTTTTCAGTATCTTGCACCAGCCAGTTTTTAGATGACTCCTGTCTGTGAGATTGCTCAATAATAAATATTAACTGAAGCAGTAGGTCCTGGTATAAGCAAAATAGGCAGGATTACAGTAGCTTAGAAGCACCTATAGCTCTTTAACAGGTTTCAAATGTGTTTGGGCAAAAATGGTAGAGAATAGGCAAAGTTTTGGGGGGTTTTTTTGCTTTGATTTTTTTTTTTTTTCTCCAAGGAAAGAGCTATGCTGTGAACCACATCAGCTGGACTTTCATTTTATTCTTTCTTGATAAGCTTCCAGTGTTGCAAACCTGCTCTGTTTACTGAGTCATAGTAGCTGCAGTTGATTGGATTACAGCCATAAAACTGACTTTATAGGAGAAGGGACAACACTGGTTTTGCTTAAAGTAGTCCCCTTTTCTTTTTCCCTTTAACATTCCAGCAGACTTAGAGACATAGTGACATCTGTAGACCTGTCCTGATTTTTTCCCTAGGAAATACATCAAGCACCTAACTTAAGTGGTGCTTTTATTATGCAACTTAGACAACAGTCTCTTATCTTTCACTTAAGACATTTTAGTTCAAGATTGAGAGTTCCATAAGCCTATCTTCATTTAAGATGCTTGTTTTACCAACTTGCATACAATGACGGTAATCAGAAATGCACTCAGTAGTCGATGGCACCACTCTGCTGGGTAAATCTGTATGTGAGGAACCTCTTGACCAGACTGAGTGTTATCAACTTCAAAAGTTTGAGAGTCTCAAGTCTCTGCACTGTGTTTACTTTTACTAGCATAGTCTGAAAGGCGTGCTGAGCAAGTAAAGCAGATAACATAACTGGTAGCATGGAAGTGCGAGGGAAGATGTATTTGCTTATTCACTGCTGTTCTAGAGATCCTTGGAGAGTGGTAACTTTCTGTTTCAACTATACAACCCCAAGGTTTAGAGCAGGAATCCAGTCTGTTCTGTATTTATCTTCAAGGAGAGATGCTACTTGTTCCTTTCCTCTTTTGCTGCAGAAAACTTTGGTACATCAAACATTTTCTGAGCTTTTTTCTCTCCTGTCTTTCCCTTTCAGGGAAAAGGCAGTGCAAATGGTGTGCTCATCAATGTCTTATACATAGTCAGATTTGATAGCATGTATATGCAGTTCTGTAGCCCCTTGAGGATCCATCCCTCCAGAGTACTGAAACTGCTGAATCCTGAATGTTGTCTAAATCACCGTGGGTTACTTTGTGAGCTGCAGGTGTGAGAGTATTGAGTTTTTAAAATCTCAGCTTTGTTGGTGTCTCGAGGCAAGACAAAAGTCACAACCAAATATTTACAGTTCTTGCTCAAATGTGTTATTGCATAGGGCAATGGAAGGGATGTCAGTATCTTCCCAGCAACAAGAACAACTAGTAATAGATTACTAAGTTTGTGTTATTTTTACTGAGGATGTTAATTGATGAATCTTCTGAGGTTTGGTGGCCCCTTACTGTTGTTTGTCTTATATTTGTAAATTTCATAGTCAGTAGCAGACAATGTATTGGTGATAATGGAAAAGATTTTGCAGCAGAGCTCATGGATAAGTGTTTTTGTTTGTTCAAAGTGAAAACAAAATTAGCAGAGTTTGCATTACATCTGTGAATTCTAGGGAAGAAAAAGAAGACATTGAATTTACAAAGCCTACCTAGCCAATTATGATAGCAAAAAGTAGGTTGGAGCAATGCTTCCTCTGAAATTCAAGAAATAGTTTTCTGCAAAAGTGGTTTATGATGTCCTTGTTGCAAAATCATTAAATTATTTTTGTATATTCTAGGACATGAGTTCATGGTTCCAGAAATAAGCTGTTCAGTGAGGTGGTGTGATGGTTTGGGTTGGGTTTTTTTCCTCCACTAGTTTGTGTTCAGTACAAGGAAGGGTTTAGTGTAGGAGGGTTTGGCTTATTTGATATGGACTGTCTGTACTATGTTTTTTAATGCAGCTTTGCTGCATTAAATTCTGAATTACATGGTTCAGTAGATTCCTTTCTGAAAAATATGCTCAATAGTGACTAAAAGGTAGAACACTAAGAATTCTATGTAAAAGAAATCGAAGACAGTTAAATCCTTATTATATTGCAATATAAATGCTCAAAGGGGCCACCATTGTTCATTGCTCCACACTGTTTGTGTCATCTTAATCTGGGAAAGGATATAGTAGAACTGGAGAAGATTCTGGGAAAAAACGTGAGGAAGATGCAAAATAAACTGTGCCTGCTCATCTTGGGAGAGAAATGATTCAAAGAAAGATCTCTAAGATTCGAAGCGAGGTGGAAAAAGTGGCAGTGTTTCCTTGTGTCTTGCAGTATAATCACTAGGTAGCATTTGATGGAGTATACTGAAGAATACAAAAGTATAGAGAGATTGAAAAAATACATCAGGTCTGTCAGTGATTATTAACAATGATGGTTTGATTGCAGCCTCTTATTTAGGGAGACTTATTCTTCCAAAGCAGGGAGCTGGGTGAAAGTTCTAGTGTTTGCTGGTTTGTATGTTGTTCCCTAAAACATCCCTTACTTGCTGTTTAGGAAGCAATATACAGGATGCATGGGGTTTTCATCTAACCCAGTGTGGTACTCTCTCATGTGTGCCTTCACTATTAGTTTTTATGCAGATAAAGACAATCCTAATATATGGTTGCAGCTTTGAAGAGAAATCTAAAATGTATGCATTGTCAGTTAACTTGCAGGACTTTGGTTATTGCTTGAGCACAGTAATTTAGCTAGGATTATTACACATACATTTTGTCGAGAGGAATTCACTGGGAGTATAGGATAATGAGATTTTTTTTAGTGTAGTAAGGAGACAGGGCTGCAGTTATCTGGGAAGTTACTTGTACTGGCAGGAGGATCTTGAGAACTAGAAGAGGCAAAAGTTTTAAGCTGAAGAGCTGTCATCACATTGCAAACTTTCTTGTAACCTTCTGTCCACTTTGCAGATCAAGGTACTGAGAAACATGAAGGAGCTGGTACTTCTGGGATTACCGATCAGGAAAAGGAGTTGTCGAGCAGTGCATTACAAGCTTTTCTGGTAAGACAAAGCCAAGCTCTGAGACTTCTGATTTACCACATAACCACTAAATGGGCTTGAGTAATTATTCTTCCTGTTTTCTTAGCACACTTGCAAATGTATTAATGGGATATTATATGAAAAGTAGCACTAGATGTGTTCTAATGCCAGCATGTGGGGTTTCTGTCTGCTGTCATGTGAGAAGTCTGAAGGGGATACTTGAATGAAGTGTGCAAAATTGCACTTAATCTTGATTCTCAAAACTTACTCTCCTTAAAAACTGAGTTACTTAGAAGAAGCAGGCTGCTGTTCTGTATCAGCATTGGAAATGCATGATCTTTCTGAAGAACTAATTGCTTCAAGTTAAAAATGTTGTGTTGAAGGGTTTGAAGGAATTACATGTAGTTAAAACCCAGCAACCTAGCAAACCTTTTTTGTTTTATTATCTTCCCATATTCTTTCACAAAAATTGCTTATACTGTTCTGTCACTTTAATTAATATCTAATATTAAACTTTAATATTCTTCAACATGTAACACCTGCAGGCAGTATTTACTACTCGTTTTGTGTTTCTTGGAAGATTTTTTTGTGTGTGTGAAAATTCAGGTAACTGTCTTTCAGTTTACTTCTTTGTGTTGTCTCCTAATTTAATTTAGCGTAGCAAGTGACAGTATAGTTGCTTTTCCTTTCAATTGTGTCTCTGTCTCCACAATGCCTTGCATGATTTGGTTTTGGATGTGTTAAATAGATTGGGAGAAGAATTTAAATACTGTCTTAGGAGGTTCCTGCTTGTATGTTTCACTCATTACTTTCATTTTGCCTGGAATGTTGTTACATGTAGCTGGTCCTTAATCTGACTACAGTTGATATTGCTCACTGTTGTCTTCTTGAGTGCTTTCTAGCTCAATTACTCTTTTTCAATAGCTTTTTGCTCATTGGCATTTGATCCTGAAAACTGAAGGCACATGAAAGGTTTGTCTCTTCTCCACTTTGCCCACAGATCTATGAGCCTAGAATACTTTTGATCTGTCAATAATTTCAGAAGATCAGACTTTTACGTTTTATACTTGTCCAGCATATCTTGTTTATTTCAAATATTTTCCTTGCTTTAATAACTCCCTAGTTCATGGAGTTGTGAAGTAGCAGATGTGAGCAGAATTAATTTGTTGCCATGTTTGCCAATTTTGCTTGCTGTTGAGTTGCTTTAAATAGCTTTGTGGGCTGCCTTATTATATTGCACTTCCAGTTTCAGTCTTGATAGAATTAATGTAAAATTCTACATTATATCCTAGATCTTGTCTGGTAGAGTCAAGTAAAGGACTGTCGGCTGAGGGAAGAATAAGCTGACCATCTAAGGGTTCAGGGTTTTTAGTCCAGCCATGGTTAGAAGCTTTGTTGCTGTGACCTGAAAGTTACTCCTGTTGAAGAGAAGCTCTGAGTGTGAACTCATGAAGATGATCACTGGGAGATGAACTGTCTCAGTTAAAGAGCATGCCAGCAGTTGAGTAGCAAGTCCCTGTGTTTATGCACATGATAGCTAGGCAATCCTTGCTGTTGATATTTAGAGTTGTGGAAATACTGTGTGTCAATGTCCTGCTACATCTCTCTGTAAACTGTATAACTGTGCTTTCACAGGAGACTGAAGGAGCTGGAATGTTTCTTTTCAGAGTAGCGGCAGAATGGCAACTTTCTCAGGAAGAGCAGAAGCACCACAGAGCCTTTCTCTGTTGTAATGCTTCCCTTAATAGAGGAAGTTAGGCAGGAGCCCTGCAGAAGCTCCGTGGAACAGCACTTAAAGAGAAGGAGAGGAAGTGGAGAGTGGTCGTGGTACTCAAGAGCATAGCTTTTGATTGTGAAGCATTGACAGAGATGGAAACGAATCTGCTTATCTGACCAGATTGGGAGTAATCCTGGTACAGAAGAGGTGAAAGTGACAATTCCTGTATTGGAATTGAACAGTAGAGAGTGAAGGATCATTTAGGCTTAACATAATTGAAAGAGCCTGGAGTTCTCTTTCATTCCTCGATGCCACTAAATTCCTCCTGCACAAACACAGAAAGACTAAAAGTGAAAGCAGAAAGAGGTGAGCCATTCTGAAGTCCTTGCTTATTCCTGAGGTTAAAGAAAGAGGTTTCTTTATTAAGTCACACCTCAGAGGAACATCATGCTTGGGTCCTAGTTTCTGTTTAGGCATGCCTAAAGAGGTGATTGAGAGCTTCATTCAGCAGCTAAGACTTGTAAAAGTATTTAAACCCGTACTGGGAAAGTGACACCCTCTTTTTTTCCAACCTGTGTTAAGCTGACTTTCACAGACTATATTATAACTTGGTCTCTCCAGATGAAGTGAAGAATGAAACAGAATGATGGGCTGGGACTTAAGTAAGCAACTGAAGCCGCTCAGTGTACATGTGATGGGGAAAGATTATGGAAACTGAGGAAATAAAGAATCTTGAAACTCAAAATAGTATGAAGAGAAATCAGAATAATGCTTTTCATGGCAACATCTCGTTATAATAATCGACTACTCCATTTGGCCTTCTTCCACAAAATTCTTCTTGAAGTTTGGATATGACTTCCACTTTTAGACTTACTTTTCGTACATATTAATCTGCATAAACAATGAAGTATGTGTGTAGATGTTTAGTTTGCTCCACTTGCTGTTGATAGAGGAACTACTACTTTGTTCTTTAAACTTACAGAGGGTACGTTCATTAAAACTTAGTAACCTCCTAGTTTAAACTTTGTGTCTTCTAAATGCATGTTTCTGGTATGTGTACAATTTCCAGGCTGGCAACTATGATGCTTGTTTACAACACCTAAATACCCTTCAAGACATAAACAAAGATGACTACAAAATAACTTTGAATACTGCTGTTGCAGAGTTCTGTAAAAGTAACCAGACTACAACAGACAATTTGAGACAAACCCTTAACCAGCTGAAGAACCAGGTAAGGCAAGTGCATTGACATGATACTTGATTTTGAGTACTATTAATGGTGGTGAGATCTTCCCATGAGATAGGAATAAAACTTCTGCCCCTTGTCCGCTAGATCTGAAAAAAGAATAAGAAACTAATGTTACTTTTAAACCTCTGAGTCTGTTTAATCATTTAAGAACACTGTTTTTATAGTTATGTTTTTAGTTATTGTTGAAATTGATCTGAAGCTGAAATGTTTCAGAGATTATAACCATAGAAACACCTGCTATGTTCTTTCAATAGACAGCTCCTTAACTTGAAATAGTTTGTGAAATAATTAAAAAAGGAAAAATGTTACTTTACTACTCAACTGATGGATTTGTATTTAACTGAATTTATGTGGAACAACAATAAAGTGTCTTAGCTTATAACTCGTGCTGACCTAGCTTTAGACAGATTCATACCTTTGGATTGTTTTTTTTAAATATTTGACACTTAAAAATCATAGGTATTGAAAATTTAATGAAACAAGTGGGGTTTATGTTTCAGGTTCACTCTGTTGTTGAAGAAATGGATGGTTTAGATGATGTTGAAAACAGTATGCTTTACTACAATCAAGCTGTTATTCTGTATCATCTGCGTCAGTATACTGAAGCTATATCAGTTGGGGAGAAGCTGTACCAGTTCATAGAGCCCTTCGGTACGTACATGGAAAGAAGAGCTTTGTTCATGCAATAACTGCAGAAAGATCATTCAGTCTTTCTCACTATCAGACAAGTGATTTGAAATTTGCCTGATGTAGTTCTAAAAAAGGTAGGTAGGCTTTAGAATGAAGTATATGTTTTATTTATATCAAGGACAACAATTGATCCTGGGGGGGGAAGGTATTTCAAGGACATTTAGCAGACAAGTATAATGAAACTGAAATGGATTTTTGACATCTTTAAAAGGTATTTATGGAAATTATATGTACAAGCTAATTAAATGATTTAAAATCTAGTATTTTGAGTCATCATGCAACTTCATGGGTACATGTGTATTTGTCAGGCACTCACATTTTTAAATATCTGCATTTTTCTCATAATGTTGCATGCATGTACTTTATAGTCAGGTTTTTTTCTTTGGTTGTGTTTGGAAAGATTGGTATTAGAGCTGTAAAATCATTTTGCTTCTTTGCTTTATACAGAAGAGAAGTTTGCCCAGGCTGTCTGCTTCTTGCTTGTAGACCTATACCTTCTAACTTACCAAGCTGAGAAAGCCTTGCATCTGCTTGCAGTTCTGGAAAAAATGATTTCACAGGGCAACAATAACAGCAAGAATGGAAAAAATGAGGTGAGCTTAAAATAATGAGAGAGTCACTAAGTCTTTAGTGCTTTAACACAACCCAAAAATACTCTTTTAAAATACTTCTGAATTATAAAACTGTGTTAGATCACCTGTAACTTCAGACAGCAACTTATACATGTTAGTAACTGAGTTAGTTTTATACAGCAGCTGTTTATTCCCTCTGTTTCACCCTTTTCTCCTACTCCCAGGGAGTTAAGAAGCATTTTAAGTCAGAGACTTGCATTGTAAAGACAGTTGTCTTCAAGGTCAAATATACATAGTTTTCCTTGTTTGTCTTGGATTATGACCATACAAGACCTTAAATTTGAAAGGGAAATTAGTGTCAGAGATGAATTGCAATTGCATGCTGAAGTATGAGAAAGCAAGCATCCTCTTTATGTAGTATCTGAAAGTATGAGGGATACTTTCAAATTAAATCTATTGTATGTGTCTTCTGAAAAAATCAGTGGAAGGAGCAGTGGCTTGAGAGTGAAAAGAGGACACTTCAGCCTTTTCCCATTGATGGATTGTCACATTTAAGATAAAAGATTTTATCTTTAAGTGTGTAGTAATTGACTCTAGAATGTGCATATCATCCTTCTCAGTAAGAGAATTCTTAAAATCTCTCAACTGCAGGCAAACATAGAGTAACACCGATGTTCATATAGAATTCTGCTCTTCATAGGCTGGTGTGGCTGTTCATGGGTTTTGATTGTTAAGCTCGAGTTACAGTATTTGGTGGGATGTGTATTTTTTGACTATTAAATAATTACTTCATGTGAGATTACTAAAAACAGCTTATGAAAGAATCTGTAAACTCAATTTAAAAGGTGATTAATAGTAACACTTCCCTTTTTCTGTTTGACACTCAGTCAGGTAATAATACAAATAAAGATTCCTCGAATCAAAAACCTGAAAGCGGAGCTTTAGTAGAAGTTGCTAAATCTAAGATACATCAGGTGAGTGTCCGCATATTACTTATATAAGTACATTAGTTCAAGTTTTTATTAAAACCGAGTGCCATCTGGTTCAGCATGAATTGTGATATTCTGTCCTTCCTTGAATTTCATGTGGTAAACCAAAACATTTAATTTATCTAACTCTTCATTTCTGTAAGAGTCATGTACAGAAAAAACCTGACCTAACACCGAAAAAGCCCCCTCTATTTCAGTCCTCACACTTTGTTATAATTTTTTTAAACTACATTTAGCTGCACTGACCTTATATCTGTCAGACCTCCAACAGTCTAAATCAGCTGGGTCTTTACTTCACTCTACTGTTCCATGGGGAAAATACAAAGAATCAAAATGCTTCTCTATCAGCATTCGCTAATTGGTGTATTCAGTTTAGTAGGTAAATGTCTGGGATTAAGAAGTTAGGTTATTTTAATTAGTTTGTCATTTGAAGTGCTAATATTCGTGTTTGAATAGAGATTAACTGTTGACCATTGAATAGAATGTGCATCTGCTTACTGTAAATGCAAAACCTATACATTTGTTGTTGAAAGTCTAAATAGAATTTCTGTTTAGGAAGGCTTTTTGAACAGCTTTTTACTACCTATTTTTAAGATGTAGATGAATTATTCTGTAATATGTCTTCTTGAAGCAGTTCATCTTGCAAACCTGCACAGGTTATTGGTTTTTGATGTAAAAAATTTAATTTTTTAACAGTATAAGGTGAGAGCTTATATCCAGATGAAGTCACTAAAAGCATGCAAAAGGGAGATCAAGTCTGTTATGAATACAGCTGGGAATGTGAGTATTCTTAAGGCTATTGTTTTTCTAATCTAGATCTGTTCTCTATCTTAAAATTGAATTTTCTAACCTTCTTTACAAAGAAAGGTCTTACTGAGGATGACTGTCTGAAATAATGCTTTATGCAGTCAGTTGGGTTTGTGATCTCTTTTCTGCAAGTGTAATTAATGTAGGCTTTTCTTACTTGCACTGTTTTCAGTTGCTCAGAAAAATGCGTTTTATTGTTAATGATCCCAAAATAACAGTGAAACACACTATATAGTGAACAGGTTCAGTTTGCTTTATAATGCAAAATAAGTTTTAGTTTACTATAAATGTTAGGGGGTTTACGGATGTCTGATGTCGGTGATTGTATAAATCAGTTTATAAAAGATTAATGCTGGGATATGAATTTTTGGGGATTTTTCTTTTTGTTGAAATTTTTTTGAGGCTTACCTCTTGCTAGAAAGCAGTTTCTTTTTTTACATAGGAGTTCTCAACTCAGAATTACGTCCACCATCCCAGATAAATTCTACATTAACTGAGGAGCAGGGAATGGGAGGAGAGCACTTCCTTTTTGTTGCCAGCCTCAACAGCTACTAGTTTGACAGAAATCCTTCTGGATCATGAGGTCTCTGTTGGCAGCCCAGGAAGATCACAGCCCAGGAGGAAGTTGTTGAACTCCGCAGGGAGGGAACTCTGGGGAGGAGTGTACTAGAAGACAGCTTGGAGAAAGATGCTCCTAAATAAAAAGGAGATCCTCTGCACTTAGCCATTGCCATGACAGAGTTCTCTAGAATAATGCTGGAGTTTAGAGCAGTAACAGTGTACGAATAAAGAAATGCTACTCCTTGAAAGTATTAAGGCCTAACCCCATTTATTTTTAAAATGGCAGTAAAGGCAAGCTGTTTGTGGAGTGATCTAACAGTAGTAGTAAAAATCATAAGACAAGAGGTAATTAACTATTGTTTTCTCCTTCACAGTCAGCTCCTTCTCTCTTTCTTAAGAGCAATTTTGAATATTTGAGGGGCAATTATCGTAAAGCAGTCAAACTTTTAAACAGTGCAAACATTGCTGAACATCCAGGCTTCATGAAAACAGGTAAAATAGAAATCCTTCATACTGCAAGTACTTAAATGTGTAGTATAATAGGAGTGCTCATTGATACTAATATGAGTACTCATTGATATTAATATAAAGCATATTAATGATTACTTAAGAGACTAGGCCCTGAATGTCATGGGTTTTTATGCTGGATATGTTTTAATCTTTCTTGTGCTCCTCCATGTAACACTGCTTTGTTTTTCACTGGATGTTCTTCTAGACAATGAAGCAGTTGTCTGTGAAAATGGATTTGTGAATGTGTAAATGTAATATTTGCAAGGCTCAACTGTGTCTAAAATAAGACATGAAACAAGCAGCAATGTACTAGATCTAGAAATGAGATTGCAGATTGTACTCAGAGAGGAGACTATAGCAGTTATAATGATGATTGTGGGGAAAATGAAAATGTTTCATGAAATGTTTGACTTCTATTGTATGCCATTGTAAGTTACTTTTATATCTAGAAAGTATATATGTGTAGACATGTACAAAAATGTAGCAGCACATCAATGTGTATAATATTTAGATACAGAAGTTATTTATGTACTATAATTATATATTCTGTGTTCACATACTATATATGCTATTATTTAAATATATTTGAGATTTTAGTTGACTTTAAAACGTCAGTTGAAAAATGCATCAAGAAAGCTGTGTGGTGTCAGGAGAGAGTTAGGATTTCAGAAAACACTTGTACTGTAAAACTACTGAATTTCTGAGTCATTTTTTTAAATTCTGTATTTACAGATAACTTTAATAGAAAACATTCAAAATATTTCCATAATGCCTGTTCTGGCATATTTTGACACTTCTTTTAGAATTTACTGTAACTTACCTTTCTGCCAATTTTTATGCTTAAAGTTCTCTTTATAACTTAAAATTTTCTGGCAAGTTTTATTTTCATGCACCTTTTTTGTACAGTAGAATGTTCACTTAATAGTCTTTCTAGGTTATGATTAAAACACTGGTTAATTTGTTAATGGTCTGTTTCCTGGTGGTTGGGATTTTTAAGGCAGGGTTTTGTGGGTTTTTTCCTATCAGTGGTAAGCCTGTAAAGCTTCAGTTACCAGCAGATAAGTCAAAAGTTTAATTTTCTGTCCTTTATAATTCAGAAGGAACTTCCTACAGTGTTACATTAAGTTGACATGTTTGTTTGCTTTATAAAACTTAGGCAGGTAACATACCTGAGAATTTCCTTTTCACAAGAGCCATCTGTTTGAAAACTAGAAGTGCTTGCAATGCTAAGCTGTACGAAAACCTCCAGGTGAACTTACTGTAGCTTGCAATCTGTCAAATTGGCTGTATACCTGACTCTCCTAGAATATGGTGCTCAATAGCTGGAAATCTGACTGCTTCACATTTCAGGTCAATTGTGTACTAGAACTAGAATGGTATACAGCAATGTAGGTTATTAAAGTGCTTGCAAGGCAGAGACATAACTGCATAATCCATGATCATCTCACCGAAGAACATGTTTAATAGACTAACATAGTATGCTGACCAATTAGAGAGTGGTAGGAGCATTTTATGAGCTCAGTGGTATTTTTCCAGTTTACAAAAATGTTGTTGTTCTCTCAGGTGAATGCTTAAGGTGTATGTTCTGGAACAATCTTGGCTGCATCCACTTTGCAATGGGAAAGCACAATTTAGGAATTTTTTACTTTAAAAAAGCCTTGCAAGAAAATGATAATGCATGTGCCCAGCTAGGAACAGTCAGCTCAGATCCAGGTAAGGCTTTTAAGAGATGAAAACAGATGGTGGAAGAGGGGTGGGTGAATCAAGAAAACAGACTATAGGAGTTTTCAGTAATTACCAGAAGAATTCCTGTTTCATCTCTTTGCAGAGGAACAGGATAAGGAGGGTGAGAATTTTGATTGTAACTTGACTTCAGGGTACAGTTGCTGCTGCCAGATATAGATGATGATGAAATATATTCTTTTTCTTTCTGTTTTCTTTGATGTGTCATGGGGCTGGGACAATTACTTCTCCCTTGTTTATAGGCTTTGACCATCAGTCAGGGAGATGTGACTAAGTTCCTGTGACCTATTATGCATCATTAAAGACATTATTTATAGTCCTGCTGACAATAGGTAAATCATCAGGACTTGAAGAATTTTTAGGTTTTTTTTTTTTAACTTGGAAGACACAGAAACTGTGGAGTGCAATACTGTTAAATTAGCACTTGGAAGATGGAGTATTTCTCAGAACTTTTTTCTGTACAATTCCCAGACTTGTATAAGAAATGTTCATCTATTGTTTTGTTTTATCATTAGTTTTATCCCTCTACCTCATTCTAAGTATACAAAAGACAAGAAAATATAAATTATAATGATATTTTTGTGCTTTGATTAATAATACCTAAGGTGGGTTTTTTTTCCTTTTCCAAGTAAATGATTAAGTGCTAATTTTTTCATCTCTTGTTTTCTTTAAAATCTAGCTACTATCACAAATTTTATTGCTTTTCCTATTCCTCCTCTGGCCCTGTACCTAAGTATAGTCTTAGGTAGCAGTGCGAAGACAGAAAATGTTTTATGCTTTGTTACGGCAAAGAGGTTTTCTTCTGGAATTCACATGAGCAACAACAATGTGTATTCTCACAAATCTGGGAATCAGTATTTTTATATAACCTTTAGCTTAAGTGGTTGACATTTAATGAACTTCAACCTTTATTAAGAATACAGAATAAGAACATTGAGCAACCTGGTCTAGTGGAAGGTGTCCCAGCCCATGGCAGGGGTTTGGAACTAGGTGATCTTAAAATGCCCTTCCAAGCAAAACCATTCTGTGATTCTAATACAATTAATTTCTCTTTGATGTGGAAGGAATACACAGAGGGAGGCTAGTGGATTTTTGTGATGAAAGGGGTTTGGTTTGGGGTGTTTCCCGCAGCTTCCCTCCTCCCCCCAGTGTTATGTTTTCTGCTTTCCTGAGCTGCACATCCAGTATTATGTAATCCTTTTCTGCAGGTAAAAAATTTTCAGGGAGACCCATGTGTACACTACTGACTAACAAACGGTATGAGTTGCTCTACAACTGCGGAATTCAGCTCTTGCATATTGGGAGGCCCTTAGCTGCCTTTGAATGCCTGATTGAGGCAGTCCAGGTTTATCACTCAAACCCTCGTCTTTGGCTGAGAATAGCAGAATGCTGCATTGCTGCCAATAAAGGGGTAAGTAGATTTGCAGGTTTCTTATCTTGATTGTAGTTATGAGAGACGTGATCACAGAAAGAAAGAAATAATACCTTGAGTTGAACTATGCATTTTAAAGGCCTAACGTTGCAACACCTCTGTGTAAATCTAGATTATTTTTGTGTATATGTGTGCATTTGCATGTTTGATCTGAAGCTGCAATAGGTGGAGAAAAACCATCATAGGAACAGTGTTCTGAGACCCAGTGTTCAATTGACTTTTCTAAGATCAGAAGAATTTGAGTAGGCTATTTGAAAGATGGTCCCAAGATCAAACAAAAGCATGTAAGTGCGTGTTAGAGCTGCTCTTCTATAAAGTTACAAGTTTTTTGCTGGAGAGACTGGTTAAGCATGGTTTTGTTCTGGTAATTTACTATCACACTCCTTTGACATTCCAACTCATAATCTGCTTAGGTAATCCTGAATTGGTTTGCAGCACGTTAGATTTCTCCAAGTCATCTGATGGTTTGCCTTCCTTGAGCAAAACTTGTAAAATAATTTTAGAAATAAAGATATTTGAGAAAAAAACCCCTTGTATTATTCTCTAATGAGGCATCACTTTATAACAGGAAACAACATGTTCTTACTGCAGTGAATGCTCTCTACGTAAAATGCTGATACTAACATTAGTTTGATTTAGCATTTATGGATATTTTATGATGCCTTAGTTTTTCACACTAATTTCAAATTAGTTGCAAAATCTAGGGGTTTATGTAAGACATTTATGTAGTAAGATACAATATATGATACATATTTTTAATATATACCTTATATGATTTTACATGGGGTTTATGTAAAATAATAAACCCCATGTAAAATCACATATGGTGCATATTAAAAACAACAAAAATCCAGCCCCACAAGTAATTCTGTCTTTTTTTTGTGTGTGTCTGAATATAAGAATTGAACTTGCTCAAGATCTTTTCTCTGTACTAATTTCTGTACTTCAAGGATTTCTGTTCCTGGATGGCAGATATAACAAGGTGAGATTGGAGTCAGTCACCATTTGTAGTATCCAAGGAAGGAAAAATTGTTGTGGCTGCTCTTGAAGGTTTGATACTCACTTCAAACCTTGATGCACAGGAACAACTTTGATAACTTTTTTTGCTGATACTTTGAAGTGGAAGGGTTGTTTTGAGGTGGAAGGGTTGGTTTTCTTCCTTTTTTTAAAAAATGTTTGACTGAAACATCTTGGGTTTTTATATTTAGACTCTAGGAATTGCATTTACCACTTCTGAAATGAGGTCCCAGCTTAAATTTTAGCTGGGGTAGTAGAAGAAAACATACATCTATCTGGCAGAGAATCTTTGTCTCTAAGGCTAGATACTACATCATAAAAGGTATGACTGAAAGTATGTTGCTACTGTTTTAACAGGCAGTAAGATTAGGGGTTTTTTTGTGTTTTAATGAATGTGGTTATTGGATCATATTGATGAATAATCTCGTTTAAAAAAAGAAAACATAGGACTATGTTTAGAACTTTACTGGAAGATGCAAAGACACTTGTAGAGAACAAGTATTTGTTTAAAGAGAAGCTTCTTTCCTAGGATGTTCTTAATTATTTACAGGTTTTTTGATGTACAAGTGATATAAACTCCTTAAACTTTTCCTTTTTTTTTTTATTAATTCTATCTACTGTAAATCTCCTATGATTAATTCACGTGAAATCTTTGCTGGTGATGTTTCCTTCTCTTCAGGCAGCCAAAACTCATCTAAAGTTCATTATTTTCTCTCTCAGTTACCACTAAAGCTTGAGGGTGAGACTGTAGCATGGCTAGCCTAAAACTGGCATAGGCTGAGGAAGCAGAGATGAACCTTCTCCATCCCAAAGCAGTCATGAAGCAGCTGCTGGGGAACTGAGTCCCTGGCTGCTGGGGCTTGTCGTTCTCTGCTGGCAAAGTTTATGGAAACGGGCTGACAGCAGACGTATTGCATGTCCTCTGGAGCATCTTGGTTTCAACCTGCTGATCCATGTCTGTTTAGGATCATAGGATCATAGAATAGTTAGGGTTGGAAAGGACCTTAAGATCATCTAGTTCCAACCCCCAACGGGATAAGCCCGTTTGTTAAAATTCAGAGGGGTGGGAACAGGGTTGTTCATTCTTAGAACAGGAAAATGCACCAAAATAGTACATATGTGAAATCAAAGAGGTACTTGATTCCCTGTGAAACTGTCATTCACCCCTTGTGTGTGTGGGTGTGATGATGTAATCTGTAATTGCATGATCCCATGCAGTTATTTCCACACTGTACCCATTTCACTCCGTGCACAGGGTGCGTGGGATTAATTGAACAAATGATTATATTGACTCTATTCTCCCTCCCCTCCCCCCCCCAGCTGAATTCTCTCTTCCCTCTCTGGGTGGCCTGCCTTACTGCACACTACCCAAGTCTTTCCAAATACAAAATTCACAACTTTTGCCTTGAGAATTTCAGTGGTGCTCATTATTTTGGTATCTCTAGTTCAGAAAATTTAAGGAAGGTATTCACAGCTTCTTTAGAGGAGAGGTTTGCTTATATCCCCATTCACAGACACAGCATTGAAGTTTCAAGTGTTGGGTTAGAACTGGGCTGACTTTGGCTGTGTAGGTGCTACCTGTTGTCAGGTAGTTCTACATGGTTAGTTTCATAAAGGACAGTGAATGCAGGAAGAACATCTTTCCTTATACTCATTCTGCAATTTTCTGTGTCTATCCTACTGGTTACAAGTCACACAGAGAAAAGGAGACACAACTGATCATCTCTAGTGGAAAGCTGGATATGGGAGACTGGATTAGCATAGGTTTTGTGGCAGAAACGAAGCTAGGAAGGACAATGTTTACCAGTGTGGTAAAGGGAAATACAGACCATTATGGGGCACTTCTTTGTTTACTGCAGACTATCCAAAGCAGTAGGTGATGCCAAGCTCCTGAGGCCTAGCTTTCTCCCTGCTACCATTGTGATGTTGTGGTGAACCATACAGCTTGTGTTCATTTCACAAAACCAGCTTGCTGCTTCCTAAATATGTAATCTCACAAGAAAAAAAAATAAACTTTTGTTAATGTTTCTGTTAATGTTTTGTTAATGTTAATGGTTTTGGTTTTGTTAATGGAAGCTGTTAATGTTAAAGGCAAAGGAAAATGTCTTTCATTTATAAGATAATTTGCAACATGCCAAGCGAGGCCCTGAAATCAACAGTGTGTTTAATTTAGCCTTGTAACTCAATTTGCAATAATCCTTGATATCTAAGCATGGATCCATAATTATACTGTAGACACCATATAGAAAAGAAATTTCACTGAAGTTAATCTTCACCTGCTTTAGTATTTTAGTTTAGAAAATATAGAGGGAAGATTATTCCCTTTCTGCATTTTTTTCAACACCTTTTCTAAAATGTGCTTTGTATCCAGACACATTGTATGTATCCTTTTATTTGACAGTAAATGCCATCACGGTGTCAATATTCTTCACAATAGATTTTGATAAATTTTCTGAAAAGTGATAGCTATTTAAAATACAGTTTTTCCTTACAACTGTGACACTTCATCACTAACTTTACTTACCAACAAAGTTGTTAAGATGGCTCATGGTAAAACAACCAAACCTCAGTAAACGTAGTGTAGAGAGCCTTGAGTCTTGAGACTGACAATTAGAGTGATTTTAAGTTCATCTTAAATGTCTGCATTCTCAGAAATCTTATGCTCCCCATGGAACAGTTGAGAAAGCTTTTTCAGAGGGTGTTTTGAATGCTGTGTAAGCAGGGAGAGAAGTTGACAAGTGTTGCAGTGCCAATTCTGAATATTATTTGTCAGATCATGATTTCTTTTTTGATACCCCAGTTCTTTTAATACGACTTGGTTCATTGCTCTTTTGCTTTCAAAACAGAGGAGAAACTAGGTCAGTAGGCTATCAGACAAGCTGTCAGAACTAATCAGGGTTATGCTGTGTGCAGTAAAATCCCTCTGCAACACAAAGACAATAGAAGGTGCCTGATCTTTCATGGTACTTAAGATTTCAAACTGTACCCATATAAACTATTAATTCTTACATTTTAGCAGCTTCAAACTTGTCTTCCAGCTTTCGCTAATTTTGTCAACCTTTCATTCAACAGCCTTGACATTTTAGTCCCTTTTGTTTTTTTTCTTTTTAGACATCAGAACAAGAGACTAAAGGTCTTCCAAGCAAAAAGGGAATTGTGCAATCTATAGTAGGTCAAGGCTACCACCGTAAGATAGTCCTAGCATCCCAGTCAATACAGAATGTTGTTTATAAGTAAGTATGATTTCAGTGGGCTATTTATTTTGTTATCATAGCCTTGTTAAGGATACCTATCTGTTTATCAGGGGGTTTCAAAACTGTCATGAAATAACTGTTAATTTTGTAATTATTAATATAGTGAAGACAGAGGCATGCTAAAATGAGGAGTCCTACTTAAACATTATGTGCATGCGTCCTCTATGGTGGCCAGCAGAGGGCCTAACTGTGTATCTGTTGTAACTAACTGGGATTAAAGCTTAAAACGGATTTATCTGAAATTCACATTTCTAGTTAGCTAAATTTTTCGTCTTTTTCTCACTAAAAAATACATCTTTTCAGTAATCCACTTTTCTAAAGTGCAGGAAGAATCTAGTTGCTCTGCCATAAAACTTTAGGAAGTGAAGAAAACCAAGAGAACTTCTTGTAATTTATGTGGTTCAATCTGCTCACTCTATTTGGGCATCATGGTATACTTTTGATAAATAAGAATAGCAAGATGCATACACCTTCATAAATTAAATTCGTTATATTAAAACATGATTTAACTTTTTTTAGGATAAAGTTTTCTCTGCATTCAGATCTTTCTGGAGCTCTGCTTTTATTGTTCAGTTTAGTAGGATTGCTACTTGCTGGCTAACCTCTGTGTCTCTTAAAGTGATGGGCAGTCCTCAGCAATACCTGTAGCCAGTATGGAATTTGCAGCGATCTGTCTAAGGAATGCCTTGCTGCTACTCCCAGAAGATCAGCAGGAGCCAAAGCAAGAAAATGGATCTAAAACTAGTAATCAGCTGGGGGGAAATACAGAAAACAGTGAAAGCAGTGAAGCATGCAGGTAAATAGAATTGCTTATAAAGCTTCTTTTTGTCTCTGGGCTGACAGCCTGTGTCTGCTACCTTTCCTTGTGGCTAGCAGAAAGAAAATAATGCATTTGTAAATTCTCTCAGCAGTGATGGGATATCCAAGGAAATTGTTTAGCTGCTCGCTGGTTTAATTGCTGGTATGCTAATTTTTAGAATACAATACTGAGTTGATTCCTACTATTCCTAACAACTTTAATCAATGAGATGGTGACATTCTTTTTTTCCCTGGCCATCTTTTTATCTGTGATGCAAATGTTACGTTTTCCCACACCCTCCCACTGTGCGTATTGGCATTTCTCTAATTATAAGTGAAGTTTCACATGTTACAGTGATTTTGTGTGTGTGTGCACGTGTGCCATGCACCTAATTCAGTATATAAATGTCTAGCAACTCAGTTGTAAACATTTCCCCATGATCAGATTTGACATTCATCAGCCCTAGTATGCTTTGCTGTTTGGTTTAGACTAGAAATGGAAAACTAGATTTAGAAGGCAAGTAACAAAGCAGCATGGAGCTATTGCTTAATAAATCACAGTAAACAAAAAAGAGGTTTTTTTCTTAAGCTCTTTTTCTTGTTAAAGCTTCAGAAAAAGTAACTTGTAGGCAATGTATGTCAAATGTAGATGCTAAATAGCAGGAAGGTGTTTTAATTTTTTGGGTTGATCCTGATACATCAAAACTTCCTTCTGAAGAGTAACTTTGCTGACCGTAGCCTGCACTTTCAATAATGACTATTTTGAGACAGGAAGAGTTACAGTAACTAATCTGGGAAAAGTGGCTATGTTAGCACTTGAATTACATGGAGAGTAATAAAAAGCCACAATGTTTTTGTCAGGCCCAAGTACAGATGAATTTTAGAGAAGACAGGGTTCATTTATCACCTGCCAGGATTTACTGCACGTATGCTCTTTTGCATAGGCACAATACAGCATATGTGCAGTATATAAGAGACAGAGCTTCATATATTCTCAGGTTGCCTGGAGGTAGACTAGGGCTAGGGGCCGGTTGCTGTTACTGCTACAACCACATTTAAAGTCTAGTCTCTGTTCTCTGTAACCTTCTTTTCCCCATGACAGTCTTTCCTGACAAGTGACTAAATGACTTGTAAAAATCTGGGGGTTTTTTTTGTGGTTGATGTTTTGGGGGATCTTTGTTCGTTTTCGTCTTCTCTCCTTACCAAGGCTGGAGGTTGAGAGCTAGCTTTCCCTGGCAAGCTGTATGCAGCCCATTGAGATGGAGCTTCTCAGGTTTAAATGAGAGGTCAATTTTAAGCTTATGGGGCCCACTAAGGGGCAGTGATGAAAACAAAATGGTGCCCCTTACTCAGACAAGACCTCCTTTTTTGTTTTGGTTGGGGGGTGGTGGTGGTTGGTTTTGTAGGATTGAGGAAAGGAAAACATGCACTGTATGGGAAAATACTACTTCTGCTCTTAAAACCAGATGCTTCTTCAGCCTAAAAACCAATGCAACAGCAGTAATAAAAAAGCCTCCCTCACATCTCCCAGTTGTCATTGGCAGTTTCAAAATATCCAGCAACAAAGCTGGCTGTTCTCGAATGTGTGTGTCATGTTCTCTAAGAATTTGTTCCTTCTGACAGGGGAACAGTAAAATGTATAAGGCCTTTGAGGAAAATCACACTAATTGAGCAGGATGCTTTTGGAACAAATCCCACCAATTGAGCAGGCTGACTGAGGCAAATTCTTCTCTTAGTCACAAAAACCAGTGAATACTTTCAGTGGTTAAGGGTATTTTTTCAATCTACTTTTTGGCAAAGCCATGAGGTATATACACTATGACAGTACTGAGTACAGTTTTCCTTGAAGTCTTGTTGCTTTCTGGTTTGAAGGTCTAAGTTGGAGTTACCTGTTTGTAATCAGATATGAAACTACATCATTTTAAAAGTTCTTGTTAAGTGAACAGACTCTTTTGAACTAATTACGAAAATAAAGGGCAGGTAGAAGTCTAAAGTAAAGCGCAGCACTTTGTGTGTTATCTTTCTATAATCTTTATGCAATTAGGTTTTAAGATGTCTGGGGAGAGAGCTAGTTTACTGCTTTTCTAACAGGCTAAAAGAAGAGAGGCTGACAAAGCAGCAAGCTCTGTCTCTCTCCAGTTTAGAGTTCTTGTCCTATACTGAACGTCAGAAAATAACTCAAGGCTGTGGAGAATGGTGTGGGTTGTTTGGTCTGTCAGTCACATCCTTCCCAGCAAACGTCCCCCTTCTTCCTTCTCAAATAGGATGGTTATGATAAGAGCGTGTGCCTCAATTTCTGCATAGCTTCATTTCCCTGCTTTTTAGGCTATAGAATTTTTGCTGTCCTTATAAATGAAGTGAACAAATATCAATGCTTATTACACTGAGAATTTTTTAATTATTTTTTTACAGTAACTCTTTAGAATTAATGCACTGTTTTTATTCTAGCAATAAAAGTCATGAAGGGGATAAATTCATTGCAGCTCCACCTTCTTCACCTTTGAAGAAACAGGAATTAGAAAATTTAAGGCAAGTAAATAATATAAAATATTATTATTTTATT